GTGGATGTGTGAAATAGATGTAGTGCTGCCTTTTTGGATTGCAGCCTCTGCTTTTGAGTACTTACAGCTTGAATAAAGGGAAGAGATGTATACTGCTTGGGTATGCTTAGTGTTTGTGTGGTCTGTATTGCAACACTAGACATAGCCCTTTGCTGCAGCTTTCCCATTGCATTTTATAAATGGTAGCTATCGCTAGTCAATAGAAGGTTTTTTCTTTCTGTAGGGCTAAGTTAATGTTTATAAGCAATGCTGTGTCAGCAGTGAAGTTCAGAATAGGAAAGATGGTGGTGTAAGGACTAACCAGCTGTGTAACTCTGGGTGCTACTTAAGGGAGCATAAAAGTGTTACATTTTACTTCTTATGTAGCACCTACAAGTTCATTTTTCTGGAAGAAGACTGCCCCTTTCAGAAGTTCCAGAAATGTGCAAAACCATGCTAGATAAATATCAACTTTGACACACACATGGAACAATACTAGATGTGAAACTATTCAGTTGTTCTTTCCCGTCAGTGACAGCCAAGAAACTTAAATCTCCATCAAATACCTTACTGTTCCCTTAAGCACATCAGAAGGCATTATGAGCATTCTTCTGAGAAGAAAGTACACTTGTCTTTGTTAAGCTAGGTCTTTTGGGATGGCCATTCAGAACTAAAAGTGTTCTTTTGTTGATTCATTGAAGGCTATAAACAGAGGAAGAGACTGGATGTTTTACATAACTCCAGATGCTGTTTCTCCATCAAATACCTTACTGTTCCCTTAAGCACATCAGAAGGCATTATGAGCATTCTTCTGAGAAGAAAGTACACTTGTCTTTGTTAAGCTAGGTCTTTTGGGATGGCCATTCAGAACTAAAAGTGTTCTTTTGTTGATTCATTGAAGGCTATAAACAGAGGAAGAGACTGGATGTTTTACATAACTCCAGATGCTGTTGATGGAGAACTAAGGTAGCCTTTAAAAATAACAATGCTTAGGCATAAATTCATAATGAAATTTCATCACTTTCAGATTTTTAAAGATTGCAAGTAGCCTTGGGAGATACTTGTATATTCTTGCTCTAAGATATGTCTTGCACAAACAGTAAATTTTTCTTCTCTCTGAAAACAGACTTGAGCTGCTTATCAAAGATGAATGGATGTATCTTGTAATGAGTAGTATTCTGCTAAAGGTACATTGCAGGACCACATTAATTGAATGACAGGGACTAAATTGCTTAGGTCTTACGCATATTAAAAATGTGCCCCAAAGCAGCCTCGTTAACCCCTTAGAATGTGGCATTCCATGAGATAAAGCACCTTGAGGAGGGTAGGAAGATACGATCCAGGACATCGATCAACCCAAACGAAGTTTGATCATACATGCGTAGACACAAAATGCGGATTCCCTAAATTGATTGCTTTGATGCATTCTCTGGATCCCAGCGTTGAAGGAAATGAATGTCCTAATCTCTTTCTTTTTCTGGATCACCTTAGCTCACTGATTATAAAAAAAAACAACAAAGCAAACAAAAAAAAAACCCCACCAAGAAAACTTTGAGTTGAACTGCTGTTGGAGCTAGAGTGTGTACAAGAAGACAAAGACAGGCTAAGGAGTTGGGTGGGTGGGAGGACATAGAACATCAGCAAGCTCTCAGATTAAAATAGAGATAGGAACCTGTATTGTTTAGATAGAGCATAATGAGGAGCATAATCTAAGGCTTAAGATCCTTAAGTCTTTTTCTGTCACCAAAGTATGAGGTAAAGAACATTTCCTGCTTATGATGATTGCCATTGGGCAAGGCAAGACCATGGGCCCCTCATTGTGCAAAGAAGCACTTGCTTTCCTGAGCATAATGCTTTCTGCTATTTCTGGTGTTGCTGCATTTAAAAGCATAAATGAAGCACCTACTGGTTAAGCAGAGAAGTGGATCTACAGTAATGGAGACAGAACAGTAGGTATTCAGAATGCAATCTTCTCTGAAATTATGCCTCGGTGCAGATCCCGAGTTTTCAAACTTTTGCTCAGATAAAGCAAATTGAAGGAAAAGCAGCAGCACTTTGCTTTCAGCTCTTTGGAGTATTTACTTCATCTACTTCCTCTGATATGTCATCATAAGAGAAACGCAGAAAACCCAGAAGATCATTATGTCTGAAGCTGTAATGATCTGGACAAGCTGCAGCCTAGTATGCATACTGATGTGGAAGCTAGCTATCTTGCAGCTTTTGAAGGCTTCTTTTACTCTGATTTTTTTAAAATGACTTACAGAAGCTCAGGATTTTTTACCTCAGTGGGATAATAATGAAATTCTTATATTCCAGTTTCTTTTCACTCACATGTCTGAGCTTGGAAATGCACTTCCATTCAGGCTATTGCTACAGCAAGCGTGATTAAAAACAACCAGTCCACAACCCCCTTCCATGAACACTCTGAGGAGAAGGTTATCTTGGATTCTGACACACATCAGAAGTGTCTTAGATTCTGCAGCAAACTTGTGGTCTTTTTTTTTTTGCATGGCATAACTAAGGCCTGATAGCCTTTGGACAGCATGGCTTTAATCTTCCCACAGTTTCAGTAAATCTTCTATTTTAAAGCTTCTTGCTGAAATCATCAATGTTTTGTCACTTACTTTACCCTAGAAAGGCATTATGAAACATGATGTCCGTCTATCCTCTAAGAAAAAGAACATATTGAATCGAAATACTTTAGGATGTTTTTATCTCTGTTTTGATATTGGTTATCTGTTAGTGAAGCTCGGAAGACATAAGGTTTGCTTGAGGAAAGGGAAGCTGGTAGTAGTCGTCTAGTAGATTATGCCAGATTAGTTTGTTTACAAGTGAAGTGGAAAATTAGTTCTTTCATAGAAGCTGTTATCGCATATAAGTCAGCACGCTAAGAAGCGACCACCTCGTTCTGTTTTTCACATGGACTTGGAATAACTTTCTAACACTGAAATTTGGACAGGCTGTCTGGTTGGACTTGACATTTGAGGAAACTTGGGCTCTTTTGGCTTGATGGCTAGAACAAGAAAATATTAACAAAAATTGCAGATACAAATATGAGCAAATTTACTTTCTTATGGTCCATTGAATAGCTAGCATCAAACTGTGTTGGACTAATATGGACACTTAAAAGTGTAATGATGCTACTTTGCATATGAGTGCTGGCTGTGCAGTCTAAAAGAGGTATATCGTTCCTATATATGAGTGCCATGTGGATTAAATGGTGTCATCAGGAACCAGCTCAGAATTAAGAGGTGATTGGTAAAATAAGTTGCAGACGCACCCTTTTGGTACCTATTATCTGTTCAATGTTTGGGTTCTAGACTGATTATGGCACAAATATGGGTAATTCCAGAAATTGGAGCAAATACAGTGTTTAAGAAATCTAGTGTTACCCATTCCAACCTACTTTTGGATGTGGGAGGGCTTCAGCAAACTCAAAGGCCCTCGCTGCCACCAGGTGTCAGTATGCACATGATGAAAATCACTCTTTCTGTGCTTCCTCTGAATTTGTAGCTCATAGTGTGTCTAGGATTGTTTTTCTCTCATGCTGAATAATCGCTTAGCTAACAAAGCCCTTGTGCAGGTACTAGTTCCTAGTTCAGGGGGTTCGTAGCATTAGAACTCCAAGTAAGCTGTTAAGTCTTGTACTCAAAAATGGTATCAGATCTAGGCATCCCTAATGCACCTGATATCTGAGAAGAAATGTGACCATTTCCTCCTTCCTGTAGTTGAAGGGCCAGCATTTTTTTTATACACTAGAAATGATTTAGCTGATTCTAGTGAATGTGGGGGGAGAAGTGTACACAGACTATACCTCTGTACTTAGTCTGTCTGATCATTCTCCTTTGACTGTTAACGAGGATCTAATACAAAGGAGCACAGACAGATCGACAGCAGTTACTTAATAGTCTGTTAATACAGATCTGTTTGAAAATGATTGGTTCTTACTCACAGAACTTAAATTAGCAGTGACTAGAGGAAGACTCACGGAGAGTAGAACTTCAAGTAGTGCCTTCTGAATACACAGAAAATAATTGCAGGCTTTTCTAGAAGTGAGAATCTTCTTCCTCAAGGTATAAACTATGTAGATTTCAAAGTTATGAAATAAGGTGGGGGGGGAGGAGGATGTGGGGGGTTTGGTTGTTTTGGTTTTTGTGGTGGTGGTGTTTTTTTCAAAAAACACTCCCAAGCTAATCCATTGGAAAGTGGGGTCACAGTGGGAGTTGTGCACTTCAGTATAAAAAATAACAATTTCAAAGGACAGTTGGTTCACTGAGCTCTCACATCTTCAGAACTGAATTGCAACTGCTTTAAACTTTTGTACAAGTTGGCTTTGTCTTGTAACTGGTTACTTGGTGAAGATTTCAATTTAGCAGTTTATTATGTCTTCTGCAGCTATTAATGTCCTTTTTCCCTAAATCTGTGCAAAACATTTAAGCTATTGGGATCCATCATTGCAAATAAAGGAATCTGCTTAACAGAGAAGAAAAGATTATTTTTTTAATGTGAAAAGGAATCTCGCTTTATGTGCACTGTATTGCAAAAGTTTTTAAATTTAATTTTGGCTGTCTTCAAAAACATAAGCCTTAAATGCTGAAGGAAAACCATCATAATTTCTTGTTTTTAAAGGCTTCTTTTTGAGACTACAAAATATTAACGTGATCTACCAGAATCACTGTGGAGGCCAAGTTAAAAGCTAGGCACAGGCATTTGCAACTTCCATTGAAATCAGGAAAAATTATATCTGTTTATATGTGAGTGGAATTCAGCCTGCTGTCTCATTAGGCAATATTAGGGGATTAATTTGTGACCTGTGTGGAACATAGCTGCTCCTTTTTGGAGAATCAGGACCATTGTTAGAGATGGTGATACCTTAAGCTCAACTGCAGTTTCTGCTTCTTGAAATGGAGCAAAAACTGATAAGAGAATCTTTTACAACCCAGCAAGTATGGATAAGATAATAGTAAAAGTGACTTGTGGCCTTAATTGAGCCTTAAGTTTTTCTTTTTACTTAAATACAGGTTTGTAAGCGAATGGACTTGGTTTGCCAACGAATGTTAAATCAGGGATTTCTGAAAGTGGAAAGATACCACAACTTGTGTCAAAAGCAAGTTAAAGCTCAGCTTCCAAGGTATGTACCAGTTAAAACTATAGTTAAATTTAAATGTGCTAGATTCTTCTAAGCAGAATATTGAAATTTCTGGCTAGCTAATTCAACTTCTATATCTTGAAAATTTGAATCACATTTGGTTTAACTTCTTTTTTTTTTTCCAAAAGCACCTTGAACCTAAGATCTAATTACAAAATAATGGTGTGGATGAATGTAAGTTGTTGTATACTAGGAACTGGAATATTGGAAAGTGTCTCCGGTATTTTATACAGAGAAAAGAAGAGTGGGTCCTGTATTACTCAACTCTTCTGGCAAATCAAGAAAGACTCCTAGGAGAGAATAAATGCCATTCCTTTTCAAGACCGTCTGCCTTCACTGATGATTATCTACAACTGCTTAAAAAAAAAAAGCAAGGTTTTCCAGTGCCAAAGATTAAACAGGGAAAAGGGAGGGAGGGTTTGACATGTGGGTATTACTGGGAACTAGTTTCTCACTAAAGCAATGTCTTTTTTCCTCTTTCTGGTGACTAAATGCAGCTGCTGCTATGTCCTGTCAGATTTCCCAGTCAGAGTGAAGCAACTAAATGCTACTTACTGTACAAAGTACTGTCAAAAGAGCTTATATCTCAACCTAAACTTTGTAGTAAGCAGTGATATAACTGTAGGAATATGGGGGGGGTTTAAAAATATTCACACTGACTCAGTGTCTTATGCTAGTTAGTACTGAAAGCTTATTTTTAAATAGTCCTAAATTACATATAGACTTTATGGGTCACAGAAGATGTAGTAATTATTTAGAGAACAAATTTTGTCTAAGAAAGCGTAGTGTGCTATTACTAGCTGGTTCTCTGTCCGTATCAGTTTCTTTCCATGAAGACAGAACTAATATTAGTGGTTACATTTTCAAATCTCAGAAGGTTTTAAGGGTGAAATTAACTCAAGCAACTGTTATAGTTTCATTTTGTTGCCTCATTGTTAAATCCGTGTCGTTTAATGGTCTGTCTTCCAGACGGGAGTCTGAAAGAAGAAACCATTCATTAGCTCGTCATGCAGACATCCTTGCTGCTGTAGAAACGAGGCTCTCTCTGTTAAATATGACTTTCATGAAGTATGTGGATTCTAATCTCTGTTGCTTCATACCTGGAAAGGTAAAATGTAGACTATATTATGTAAATGTATATCTGTGTCTAAAAAATATGATTGTGTAACTTAACCTGGGACAAATTTATATAATGTGTATATATATACACTGTGTTTCAGATACTTGCAAACACACACATGCGCCTATACTCTCCTACAACAGGCAGTGTGAAATGAGTGAACCAGACTATATCTAAATACTAATTATTTTAAACTTGCTTTCCATTTTCCCTTAGATTCTTTCTTAATTCTGAAGTTTGACTTGTGACATATACATCCTATACAATCTTTTACGAGAAACACATGATATGTATGGTTTCATTCTGAATTTTAATTGTACAAAACAGCTGGAGGCCAGGTTTTCAGAAGATGTAGTGATTTAGTCTATGTATAACACTAAGCACTCAGTCAATCAGGAAGATTTTAGGCACCTTTTTTAAGGGTTTGAGTCCTTCAGATTAATTGAATTAAGATATTTAGTATGTGGAAGCACTGTTCAGTATTACAGTGGATGGGGTGTTTTTGTACAGTAGGTGGAATTAGTTTTAAATGTAGATAGTGTGTTAAATATTAAGACTACTGAACAATTCTGGTGTTTCAGTATGCTACCCCAACATAAAATATAAATTATGCAAGCAAGATGTACATCGGAGACACCACTGTTTAATGAGCTGTGAAAACAGAAGTGCACAAGGGAATTGACAAAATCATGATCTGAGGAAGACTGGTACAGGTCAGGGTTGAAACAAGATCTGTGAACATTTAGACTAATACTTTATTCATTGATCTTTCCATGTGAGGTTTGGATATGCTGGTATTAATTTTTCATGGGCAGATTACTGAATTGCTGGGATGAATGGAAAAATTGGCTGTTGGATTCAGGGGAAGCATGGCAGGCATTTCTACATTCAGTACAGTAGGATAGACTGCCAGCATGAAATGTATTTTTTGTCTTGAAGAGGTAACTTGATTTCTGTACACTCTTGTTGACTTGATATTTAATTAATTTAAAAATCATTATAGTTTAATATATTTATGCTTATTTGACTTTATATATCCTGTGTATTTTAAAAAAAGTAATGCAACATAAAGTCAAACTCAAATCCTTGATACTCACATAGTAAATGGAATACTTAAAAGAAATGTTGCCTTTTTGTTCTGAACAGTAGATGGAAAGGCAATAAGCAGTCGAGACCTGGGATGTGTAGGAGTTGGGCAAGTGAGCTTGCCAGCCGTTTTCCTTGTGGGCACTGAGTCCTAAAGACCTTGTTTGTATTCTAACAGCTAAAATTTTTTTTTTTAATTATTTACTTAGTGTATGAGCTTGCTGGCGCTGCTGCGCTCTCAGCATAGTTACCAATTCACCAGAAAATCCTATCTTGGTCAGGCAGATTCAAGGCTTAGTGTTCATTTATGGTCTGTGGTTTCCCCCCCACCTGCCCTGCTTTCCTCAGGAAATTTCATTTGAATGAAACTGCCACAGAATTGTTGGGAAGTGAATTTGTATTAGAGTACGTGAATCCTGATTTGTGGTACAGCTTACTGTGTGGAGGTTCCTGGTGATAGCAGAGCGCTGCTGCAAGATTTTCCGTTGAGGATTGCAGGAGAATGCTTTGAGGATGTTTTTGCTAACAGGATATAATGTGGGTAAAATTAGAGAATTCTTTTATAAGCTTGTTGCGTGATGAGACACTTCAGTCTTGTCTAGCTTTTGCAATGTTTTTTAGCTAAGCTTCCTTTATGAAAACACAAGATGCAACTGTATTGTCTCACTTATGTTTCTAAGTCCTTAAGATCTGTGTTCTTCAGGAGACTCTTCAACCATTCTTAATCCTGTGCAAAATACCTGTGTCAGTAGTTTGGGTAATAAGAGACCAGCACACCTATCTTGACCTGCCTCAGACTGTAATTCATAGATTGGCGAGACATCGTTCATCTATCTGTATTTGTCCTCACCAGAGGACTTGTCAAACCTGTTAAAAAGGTGTTTATGTTTTCTGTTGGCAGTGGATTGATGTTTTATAAATTAATCTATTTTGGACTTAACCTGAATATTGCAATATTTTGAGTGTATGCAAGTGGACTCAAGTAAATATTTACAGCTCTTCAGACTGACATAAGGATAATTCTTGCTGTTCCATTCATGTGTTTCCGATGCCTTCGTAACTGGCTGGGGGGAGTGACTGCTCTGAAGAGTGGCTTAGAGTATTTTGCTTCAGGTTCTTTAAAAAGAAATGATTATGCTCTGCTGAGTATAGATTTATATAACTTAGAACTCAAGTATGGATGCAGTAAACCAAAATTTCACACAATGAGCATTATTTCATGAGTTTAAAGAGAGTTGTTGTGATAGATCAAGTGAATAGCTTCTCTGATGTATCACAAACAGGACTTCATTTCAAAAAGCTGATCTAGAACTAAAGCACACAGTGGTGTGCAATAGGTATGTAGTAAAAGCCCCTGAATATGCCAGAACTTCTAGAATGATCTGAAATAATCTTGCCTTAATCAGAAAATCCTAATTCTTCTTAAATGTTTTAGGTAATAGATGAAATTTATCGTGTGCTAAGGTATGTAAACTCTACAAGAGCTCCTCAGAGAGCTCATGAAGTTCTTCAAGAACTAAGGGACATTTCCTCCATGGCTATGGAATATTTTGATGAGAAGATTGTTCCAATACTGAAAAGAAAGATGCCTGGGTCAGATGTATCGGGACGTCTGATAGGAACTGCCCCAGGTATTAATTCCAATGTATAGTTAAGTTTTATTTAGTTTTTCTGTAAAAATTCGCAGCACTGTGTATTTTTAAAGCTCCCTCCCTTAAATGCAAGCTTTATTACATAAATATTGATGATACTTGTTTCTTAAGAATGCTAACTGAAATTCATTTGCTTGGAAATTTAAGGAGCCTTTGTGCTACCAAAAGAACAGTCACTTGAATGTACGTTAGAATTATGCATAGTGTGTATTCATTGAACAAACGCTTTTGTGCCACTGATGAATGAGACTTTATCATTGCACTTGGTTGAAATTTGGCGTATGAGATGACAACTTGATGCCTTTTATTTTTAGGACGATCAGCAAAGAATTAGCCTAAGCTGTTGTAGTACATAGAGAGGTAGAACGTACTTGTATGTGCTTTTTTACTTTCCTGGGGCACTAAATAGTATAAATATATATAAAACATATATTTATAGTGTAATGTATACACTAACAACCAAAATACTTATAGGTAATAGTGAAAAGGCAATTAAAATTACAGTCTATCAATAAACAATTAGACTGGTCCTTCATATACTCTGTCAGGCTTTCCAGAACTTTTGTGAACCAAAGCCTAATGTAGTTGCCTCATATAATGGCCAAAAGCAAAAAGTTACTAGAACTGTAGTGTTTTTCCTGTGCTGAACATTTTCATGCTTCTTAGGAACTGTGGAATTAACTCTTTGAAAGGATAACTTAATAGAATTTTTTTTTTAAAAAATAAATTACATCTTGAGCAAAAATGATAGGCCTAACTGTAGGAGCTGCTGCTTGTTCCTGGTTGTCCCGTCCATCCTTTTGGCCGTAAGTATGTATACCACCTCTTAATTATATCCTGTTAATTATACCTCAACTCATTGAATCTCTTCCTTCTGTTAAGGAAGTACTGCCCAAAACCATAATTGATGTCAACTGGCTTTTCAAGGCCAAGGCTTTATGTGGCATAAAAATGCCTATCTTGTCTTGAGGGAGGAGCATAAACTCTCGAACAGCAAGCCTTTAGTGTCACGCAACTGTAGCTATGCTGGCATCTTCAAGGAAAAAAAAAGAGGAGGAGGAAGACGACTCTTCTAGGCTGTTCCAGAGTGTTCTTTGTAGCACTTAAAAGTTGCATCTTACTTGCACAGCATTGCTGAAAGAATAAAACAACAGAAAAAGCAACAGATATCTCTTATGATAGAAAAAGGTGAGAGAAATTATACAGTAGCTGTTAGTCTCCTTAATTTGCAGGAACTTTATTAAAATCAACATTCCCAAGCTCAAATTCCAGTATGGTTTTAGTACTTAGGAAGAATGATTCTAAAGCAGCATGGAAAATAAATTCCTTCCTTCAAAAAAGTAAGTTAAACTGAAATATCTTGTTAAGCCCCAAACCACAAAAAATTCAAACTTTAGCTGTCTACAACTAAGTAGAATTTTACAGCTCTGTTGAAATATATTTAATATGTCTATTCTGTAATAAGTAATTTATAGACATGTTGTGGGTTTTTGACTTAGCATCTGTAAGGAATTTTTGATACAGCAAAAGGAAGGGGGCTTATATACAGAAAATGAATGATGAGCTATTTTCCAGACTACGGAAAATCTAGGTATTTTGAATTAAACTAGCTGTGCTCTGAAATACTGTATGCTCTTGTTAGACACTTCAGTGACGATCAATCTGTTTACATGTTCACATAATTTGCAACTAGCACTCAGATTCCTGTTTGGGGAGTAGGGATAAGCAAAACAGGAAAACTGGGACACAATTTTTACCTTAAAGTTGTAGACGATTAATCACAGTTTTCTCTGAAGTTCCAGGGCCTTCTGCTGCACTGACAACAATGCAGCTGTTCTCCAAGCAGAACCCTTCAAGACAGGAAGTCACCAAACTCCAGCAGCAAGTAAAAGCAAACGGCACAGGCTTGACAGCGCTAAAGCGGGAAATCTCAGAGCTTCGCATCAAAGTACAAGAGCAACAGAAACAACTCCAAGATCAAGATCAGAAACTGCTAGAGCAAACCCAAATCATAGGTGAACAGAATGCCCGATTGGCTGAGCTTGAACGCAAGCTGCGAGAGGTGATGGAGAGCACAGTAGGAAATTCTTCAGGTTCTGGCTCAAATGAACAATCTCCTAGAAAAAGGAGGAAGGCGGTTGAATCCACAGACTGTCCTAGGAAATCTAAACGCCTTCGAAACAGAAAATAACTTGGGAGTAAATGACACCTTCAGGAGGATACACTGCTTTAGTAGCCCAAGCAGGTCTGCTTGTTTGGATACCGTGACTAGCTTCATGGTGTCACTTAGGCTGCTGGCTCTTCAAAACACCACTTAGACTTGAACAGTAATTTTCTTTCATTGAGACTTTTCCCCTGCTTTCTGTATGGGTGGGCCTAATGCACAAAATCTTTACGATTTGCAATAGATACATACTAACCAGACCTGCTCTGTTATGTTTTGAAGGGTTAATCTTTTTTTTTTTCTGTGCAGATGTGTTTAAAGTAAACTTATTTGTGTTTATGCATATGTTCACATAAAATCTTAAATAAATTCAGTCTTAACTGGCTAAAAAGTTAAGCGTAAAAACAGATGTCCTGTTCACTTGAAGGAAAGATCCACTTTTAAAATCTTGTTTTAGAGAACTTGACCTTTTTTGTTATAAGTGACCTTGTCTGGAATGTCTGAAAAGTAGTTAATACTTTTTGGGGATCTCTGTAATGAGTAAAACTGACTTCTTAAGCTACGGTATTGGCTATATATTTTTGTAAACCTACAAGGAAGGGCCTTCTATCCAGTCTTCACATGCACACACCCTGGGTCTAGGTTTTGGGAGCCATATTCTACATTTGCATGGATAGATGCATGTACAGCTTAGCCTGCTAAAAACACTTGCCTGAAATTGTTCTTAACTCTGGGAGAGAGAGCATAGAGACCTATAAAGCAATATCTTTGTTCCTCAGCCATGACTTAGTATATGCTTTCAGCACAACTGCTTTCTTACAATGAGGTGGTCCAACGAAGCCAGCTGCAGGAGAGTGTGAACCCAGGCTATCTGCCACTTGCACTGCCTGTGAATTGCAGATATCATTAGCCAAAGCTGGAGAATTGAGAAGCTACCTATGCATCACTTGATTCATAGGCCAACATCTAATAAGTATCAGACAAACTGTCCCTACAATAACCAAGCTCAGGGGGACATCATTTGAATGAAATGCTGTATTATGGAAAAAACTTAAACTATTCTGTGTGTATGTGTTGGGGGTGGGTGGGATGGAAATTTCTCTGTAACACTGATGACAATATTCTAAGCTTTCCTTATCCTAAAAGGAAAATCACTTCAGACAAAGCTTTAATTTCTTTTGCACTTCTGTTTTGAGCTTGTAACTGGAAAAGCATGTCTTGCACTGTTCAGTCTCTCTGGTCACTTTAACAACCTCAGAGTTGTGTACAGTGATTTTTTTTTTTTCCCCCATCTGTATATTTTTGGAACCTCATACAAATACCATTGTCTTTTGTTTTAATGTACTAAACTATGTAGCTTTATTATTTGAGTTATGTTTTTTTTAATCAGCTGCTGCTTTGGGTTTAGGTGGTTCTGAATTCAACTTGTTATGGCACTGAAAATGCAAATGCTGCATTTGTAGCTGTTCAAAATCTTGATATTATTACCATGGGTTAAAGTGCAAGTTATTCTTACATTTTGTATGGCTGTCAGCATAATGTAGTGGTTGTATTTTAATCACCAAGCAAGTTGGAAATTGTCTGGTCAAATGTTATGTAATCGTGGGAAACCTGACATTTTTCCTGAAACTTCAGCTGCAATCTTTACTTCTAAAACATATTAGCTCATATCAGAAGTACCATTGGAAATGCCAAATTTCTGGCAGGCGTTTAATTTTCAAATAAACTCGTTCGGTAGTTTGAGTCTTTAAAAAAAAAAAAAAAGCATGTTTCTTAAGGAGAGTCTCGAAGAAGTGATAAAAGGTTATCTGGGGAAAGGTTCAACTGTTAAAGGAGCATTTGCTCTTACTGGTCTTCCATGGCTCAGAATATTTTACTGTTAAAGATCTCCTTAAGATATCTGCTGTTCAGTTTAAAAATACTGGCATATACTTTATCTTTTAAAGAAATAATAATTTTGAATCAAAGGGTCAGCATGATAGCTATAATTACTGTGTATCATTTGATACAAATTCATTTAATGGTTACTCATGATGACAAAGTCATATAACAGTCTAATTACCTGATATTTGTGGTTAAATGCTTCTAAACAAGTATAAACCTGTGAGTTGCATTTACTGAAAAAGTTTATTCATATATCTCTTAATATCTTTCACTTTAGTTTCTTTATTTCTAGAAGATGCAAACAATTTACTCCCCCCTTCACAATATAGAAATAGTTTCGGATTATTGGAGAGTACCATTTATTTATACGTTGGTGAGTCTCTAGCTGTGTGTAAACTGAGCTGGAAAGAACACTGGCCTATTGTTACATGAAACATCCTCTCTGAACAGTGCCAACTTGGAACCTTCAACTCAAGGAAGTATCACATGCTGCAAGTTTGCAGGTGCATCCTGACCTTTTGCATCCTACCGAGAACAGTAAAATTGAATGAGGCCCACCAAACCTCAGGGGCAGAGGGGATGGTTACATGCAAGCTCTGAGAAAGGCTATAACAAAGGTACACCACTACTTTGTTTTCACTTCCCAGGGAGGGAGACAGACATTGGGCTGGAATATACGCCAGTGGTATACACAGAATGTAGAAAACAGAGTAAAATACTAGTTGAGAGAAAATAGCTGGAACATTAACTTCTGACACAATATTGTCCCTTATTAAATAAAAAAGGTGCATTTTGCAATACATGAACAAGCCGATAAATAGCCTGAAGTAAAACTAAATCACTTTTAACTATAAATTTATATGGAAATTTGCATGAGTTAGTATATCAATCTTAAAGTACAGTATTAGTAGTCATAGGTGAGTCTATAATCTGTGCGAGGGAGAACCTCAAACTAGTGAGACCGAGATGTAGTTTACAAAGTTATGTGAAAAATAATTTTATTTGCAGCCAGCTATCAGATTGTAGTGTTGAGCTTTAGTGCTTGTAGCAAGGGCTGAAACGGAACAGTTCAGGGCTGAAAGAAAAAGCGATAGTGCTTGTCTTTCATAGTTTCTTAAAACAGCTTCAAACTACTGAGGCTAGCTTTTCTTCTTTGTGAGCTTTTTTTTTTTTTCTTTCCTAAAAACAGCAGCTTGCTTTGTAAACTGCTTTTTGTTTCATAGTAAGGTTGGGGATTTTTTACAAATTTGTGTATCTAGTGAAAATGGTATCAGAAGATACCGCAGTGGTACTTTTTTGAGGGAGAAGCTGTCTGCAAGCAGGTCTTGCTCCCCAAACTGAACAACTTGTATGTAAATGCAGTATGCAAGCACCTTCTAAACAAGGGCCAATGGATGTTATAGGTGGAAGCCCTGAAGGAAGAAAGACTACCTCCTCGACAAGATAAATTTCTCAGAGGACAGAAACAAATGTGAACTTCAATCCCTGACACTCTCTCAGCATAGCACATTAAATTAACCACAATAGTTCATAAATATTGTGAGGATGCCTTCACGTAATTTCTTCACATAAAAGGTAAGACTGTATTGAACAGAAACTTAGTTACTCTTATTGAAATGTAATTCCCACAGTTAATTGTGGAAAGCACTAAGATTGCCTAAGGAATTTTCAACATCGAGGGCCTCTTGAAAATAGGATGACATAGGATGTAGTTAAATGTGTCTCCAGACAGGAGAGGAATACCTGATTTCTTGGTGTTCCTGATTAAGAAGGTAACTGGCAAATTACAGTGATAGAGTATGATGTTATTCATCAGTAAATTCACTTTGGAGTATTTTATAGTAACATGTCTA